GTTTCTAGCTAGTGTGAGACTCCTCTTGGGCAATCTTTGTGCCGGAGCTCACTGCTAAATTGGTTGAGACTTTCTCAGAATGAGCACAGTCTGAGGCTCTTCCTACCTAAGGCTTTTAGGCTCTCACTTCTCCTTTCATAAGAGTCAAACCTGCATCAGGGGCAGAAAGATTATTTTTCCTACTTGTGCTGTCTCTCCTCTTTATCTTTTATAGGCATTTTCTCCAACAAACATCTTGTACTTTGAACTGCATCTTGGCTTCTTCTTTCCAAAGGACTTCCTCTCCCAGACTTGCATCATCATCGCTGGTAGATAACTTAGGCTTGAATCAATTAAGTGGCTCACCTCAGGTCCCACAAATGTTAAATGGACTATTTTTTCACAATATTTTTTCTCATACTGAATAATATCCATGAAATCATGCAATGGATGTGCAAGTTATAATTCCCTAATTCACATTGAAAGTATAACTATTAAATTTAAAATAAAAAACATGACTAAGTCTGGCTAACTTAGTTATCCCACATTGGAAAAGTACATAATATCATATTTTTTTGTTGAGAATTTATTTGTTCTATGAAACCATATTTGGCCAAGAGTTAATCTTTGAGATTTAGTCAACGTAGTCATTCTGAAGACATGGAATACCTATCATCTTACTGAGAAACCAATTTCAATGCTTACGGCTGCCAGCCTCTGTTAGACACTTCATCTTAGTGTCTAACATAGACACTTCCATCAAACAGCAAAGGAGATAGTCCAGTTTTATGCCCACCAAGCCAATATTCTATTCATATTGTCTCTAAAATGGAGTATGCGCACTTAAATATGCAAGATAATTACAGAGTGACAAAGGAAATATTTTAACTCTATTTTATGAGCACAAAATTAAACTTTTACTAATAGGTTGGTGCAAAAGGAATTGCAGCTTTTGCCATTACATTCAACAGCAAAAACCACAATTACTTTTGAACCAACCAAATACTTAAAATAGGTGGACACCAGTTCAGACATTCCACATGTATAAAGTATGTATGCTCAAAAATGGAGACGACTGTTAAAACCTGCTGTCTCAGATTAACAAAACACAAAGCTTACATTCTAGTGAAGAAGACAACAAATATAAATTAATGCTATATGCATATACACTATACAAAATATATCTTTCTGCCCCTGATGCAGGTTTGACTCTTATGAAAGGAGAAGTGAGAGCCTAAAAGCCTTAGGTAGGAAGAGCCTCAGACTGTGCTCATTCTGAGAAAGTCTCAACCAATTTAGCAGTGAGCTCCGGCACAAAGATTGCCCAAGAGGAGCCTCACACTAGCTAGAAATGATGAGCCTTTATACCAACGCCATGTGCAGTCACTGCCTGTGGACTGCCCAGAACGAATGGCCTCAGCTCATTGGCTTGGACACTGAAGGAAGATATTTTGTATAGTGTATATGCACTATCCAAAAATGTAGAAAAGAAGACAAATATAAATTAATGCTATATGCATATACACTATACAAAATATAAATGTAGAAAAGGAGAACAGGGAGTGCTCTTGTGAGATCCAAGATTAAATGTGGTTCTGGGGTAGGACCTCACTGTAAAGGTGATGACTAAGCAAAGACCCAAAGAGGGTGAGAAAGCCAGCTCAGTAGTAACTTGGGAAAAGAGTGCTCCAGAGAGAGGAACTAGGATTGTCCTTTTGCTAGGGGCACAGCCCAATAAAGGTGTAACTCACATCCTTTTTTATCACAAAGTTGGACATTCAAAACACTAAACATAACTAATTTATGCCGGAGGTTGCAAATGTTTTTTGTGAAAAATCAGACCTTGGCAATGACCTTGAGCAGTAGGATATAAGTAACTTCCACAAGCTTAGTGTTCCAGTAATAGAACACTAGGCATAAATGGGTTAAGCATCATTGCTGTCCCCAAACTCTGGACCCCTGCCTGATGAATAAGCTGCCACCTAAGACACTGATTCATCAATTAAACTTGAGGCATGTTGTTAATGATAGAACCTTCATGATAATGATCCAGAATTCCAGATTCTGGAGTATTCAGAGGTGGAAATTCATAGTCCATGCTCAAGATCAAATGGCATCTCTCAGACTGGAAAATCCTTCTGAAGTCAGTTCCAGGCATCCCTGGAAGCCTGGATAATTTGGGAAAAGGCTGAGTCAATGTAAGGTCATACAGCAGACCGAAGCCCCCATAGTTCATGCCAGAATTGACAAAGTGGAAAAACACTCAGGTAGTCAAGCACTCAGGGACCGTTCTAGATGCAAGTGGCCTAACCTCTTCTCCCTCATGCAAGTTTGGCTTAAATTCTTACAGCTAAAATCATGAGTCCTTTGTTATGACAAAAATGATATAAGATGTGACATTTACCATAAATAGTTATGTTGTTGAACATTCTGCTAAAACTTCTTTGGGTGAAGAAAAGATCACATTTTTGGATATGGATGTAAAACTTGTGTTTTAGTCTCCAAGCCTTTAAAATGGGATGAGTATACACCCCATAGGGTTGTTATGATGAGGAATACATGAAGTAACATTTGACAAAATGCTTGAAACATATAAAAAATGGTACATATGCTTTTTAAGTAAAACAGAATTCTCTCTTTTTAGCATGGATAGTTTCGTTTATTTATTTATTTATTTATTTATTTATTTATTTATTTATTTATTTATTTATGAGACAGGGTCTCACTCTGTTACCCAGGCTGGAGCCTCAACCTCCTGGGCTAAAGCCATCCTCCCACCTCAGTTTCCCAAGTAGCTGGGACGAGAGGCATGTGCCACCATGCACCCAGCTAATTTTCTAATTTTTTTGTAGAGATGAAGTCTCAGTATATTGCGCAGGTTGGTCCTGAATTCCTAGTGTCAAGGGATCCTCCGGCCTTGGCTTCCCAAAGTTTTGGGAATATAGACATAAGTCATCACACTCGGCAAAACAGAATTCTCATTTAAACTTCCTATGCAACGTTACTTCCAAAGACTTACCTCTTTCACCTTCATCAAAGAAAAAAGACAATTCCTGAGAGACTTTTACACAGAAATGTTTAAAACGCAACTTTTTATACATTATAAGTCTAGAAGCTCTGTCAAGTTTATATCAAACCTTTAACTGAATTTCAAAGTGAATGGTGTAATAGATGACCACAAAGATTATCAAATGAATACTTTATTAGAGACATAACACGTATAAAATAAATTTCTTTTCATCAAGGAGTTACCAGATTTTAAAACCAACCAACACTTGCTCATTTTTACAGCTAAGATATGTTAAATTCTTAAACGCCATAATTTTTGTTCAACTCCTTTGTCATTCAACTCACAAATCTAGAATGCAATTAATCTACAAATCTAAGTATTCACAGATGTGTCTTAGGCTTGGTTTGTAACAATCTAGAAGCAATCCATTTACAAAAATGCCACCAAAGCATTTTAAAGAAATCAATTTAATGCCACCAAACAGAAGACTGCTATACTGGGAAACAAAAAAAGTCTCACAACTAAATTCTAGCAGACTAAACGATTCCAACTAGAATAGACTATATATCCATATGGCACATTTATGACTTTGTAATATGTAATTCATAACACAGGTTTAGGTGTGTGGTATGGAGCTGGGAAAACCAAGGAAGTAGGATATTACAGAAAATATCTGATGTAAGTACAAAGTCATATGCCTGATTTCCTCATGTCTTCTGTCTTGATATTTTTTATCACAAACCAAGATCTAACAGGGTTCTTTCTAGAGGATTATTAGATAGGTAATACTTGATCATTAAGCACTGATCATGCCACTCATTCACGGTTGTTCTATGTTCCATGAACTCTAATAGCCCAACTTATACATGGCACTCCAAGGGGATGCTTCAGCCAGAAAGTAAAGGGCTGAAAGAGTAGAGCAATACAAAAGCCCTAGTGTGGTGGGAACTGTGGCCTCGCTCTAACTTGTTCTTCCATTCAAAACATTTTGGCACCTTTCCATGACCAGGATCTCTACAGGTAGGTTAAAATACTTTTCTGTGCTATTTAGCCAGAAATAGTTTTTGTGCTGGCTATGATTTTAAAACTGATTTTGTCTGTCACCAGTGCAAAAACAATATAGATGTCTGGGCTAATGCAAAAACAAGAATCTACAACTTTATTCAAATTTAACTCAAAGTAATGTAAAATAATTAGAAGTAAAAACTTAATTCTTCTGAGAGCTCTATTTGGAAAAGCTTCACATATCCACACACAAATATGGGTATGTTCATGCACAGGGCAAACAACTGTATACTGAAGCATAAACTCAAAGTAAGACATAAGTAGCTAGATACTAGTTCCAGTAGTGGTTAATGGTCTCTGGGGATCCCATTTTAAGCACTCTCAGATGAGGATCTTGCTCAGTTGTTAGACTATCATTAGTTTGATTAAGCGACTAAAGTTTACTTCATAAATTACTTTTGCCTACATCCAGGACTCTGCCTGAGATAGTCTGAGAAACCATACATTCCTCCAAAGGTAAGTATGTGACAATTAACACAAAGGCAATGTGATTATTGCATAATGAAGCTAAATATTATGTGGCTTGTCTATTAGGTTTATAGGTTTTCATGATCAGTTCAAGAAAATGCAGAACATATATAACTAAGGTTTTACACCAGTGGTTGACAAACTATGGCCCACAGGTTAAACCCAGCCTCCCCTTGTTTTTATACATAAAGTTTTATTAGAACATAACCACACTCATTCATTTCTGTATTGTGTACAGCTGCTTTCATGCTATAGTTGTGACAGAGACTGTATGGCCCATGAAGCATAAATATTTACCTTCTGGCCCATTTTTCCTGGTTTACACTAAATTATAGAGTTCAGTGCGAAGCCTATTTGAAATGTGTTTTTTTAGGGAGTTTAAAATTAAGGTTCAGGTGACTCAGCAACCAAACAAAAGGGATACTAAATTTTTATGAATAATATATTTGTATTTTATGGACATAAAAGGAAACTTTCAGGAAGGGAAGGAGGGGAGATATGTAAAATAAAAGGCCATTTCTTTAATATCATAATAAAATTAACATTCCATCCATGAAATAAACCAAAATTTGAGCTTTGATAGTCTCTCTCTCTACTAAACAAATTACTTTTGGAATGTTTTTGCATCTGGACAAAATGGTATCCAAATTGATCAGACATATAAAGTAGACAAATGAAACTAACACACGACTGCCAGTTTCTAAGGAGTGTTACGGTCGCCATCTTCGTAAAGCCAGACCCAAACTGCAACCATAACAAGCTGTCGTCATAAACGCAAAAATCTAAGAAAAAAGAAACAAAAATTCACATCAGATTTACAACACCGACTTAAAAGCAGTGTCCTCAAGAACAAACATATGAAGATTGACCAATCTACCTAAAAACACTTTAACACTTACAAAAATATTTTACATTGATTTTATTCCCTCATACAATTACCCCCCACTTCCTTTAAACATTTTAGCCCCTAATAATTTTCTCATTTGTGGATGACTTTACATTGAACATTTGTTCAATTTGTTCACATTCTGGGCTCACTTATTAAGTATTTGTGAATCCCCAGGCACTGTATTTAAAAATTCAGCATGAAGTTCTATTCATGTAGTGGCTTCACAGCCAAGGAAGCCAGCAACTATCAGAACCTGAGGATTCATCAAATAATTTCTGTGATGATGGAAGGTAACTTTAAAACTCAACTAAGACAAGTGGAAATGAATTGTCAGGTTGGCTTGCTCTTGTATAGGAGACAGTCCTATGCACAAATCTACACTCTACTGTGAATTACTGTCCCGAGAATCTCTTTAGCACCAACTGTGTGTATATCACTGCACTTCGTACATACAAACAGTAGATAGCATCCTCACCCTTTTGGGGCTTATGACCCATAGAAGACTAAAAGACAGAAAAAGCAGTTCAACATGATAAATGTTAGGGTTTAGCACAGGGATTCTTAACTAGGAAGCTAGCTCTGGGAAGGAATACTAGATTCACCTATAGACCATTTTCACAGTTTAATTACTATTCTGCTCTTCTTTCCACCCTTCTGCTGATTGATACATTTCTAATCTAGACATTGTTTTCTGAATGAGAGCAATAGCGCTTGATATCTATTATTATGGAAAAGGAATTTTCCTATCTAATGTCCCAAATGGATGGCTGATACATTTTAGTTAGACTAAAACTCAAACTAGAGATTTACTTTGGAGTGAGCACATGGATGAAACGGGATGTAATGCTGAACTCGAAGCATGTAGAGGTTTACTGAGACAGCTTCACTTAGAAAGGGAAGGACAACAGGGACAAAGTCACAAAAGAGAAGCAGCCAGAAAAGAATTACATGATGGAGAACACGGAAAACTAGGCCCTTAGGACAAAGGTGAGAAATGAAGGACCTCAGACAACCATCAAGTATTTCAGCAGCTACTATTCTTGTGAAAGTAGGTTCTAGGGTGACTATCAATAGATGTGGGGATACTTTAATGATCCAAGATATGAGAATCTAGCCTGTACCATTAAAAAGAAGGGACTAGAAGTAAGAAACATATAAAGGCAAATACAATGGGAACTGATGACTAATAGCAAGGAAAAAAGTCAAGTTCCTGAACTTTGCTTTGTAAAACTGTTAAAACCAAGGGTTTTCCAATGTGATTTTTGGATCACAAGGATTCTATGATCCTCAGGGATGATATGGTGGGTAGAGGCAGCTTGATGAAAAGAGAATGAACATCATTCAAGGCCCTCTTCCTCCACTTCAACTACAACACCTAAACTTTTATTCTAGATTTATTGGGGTTTTAGGTAAGAATTCATTAAATGAAACTTTTATTTCTTTTATAAGCAAGTGTTAAAGTCACTAATCTATACTATAAACCTTTCAAAGCTAAAACCATGACTCCTTTTTGTTGTAATCCCACCTTCAGCCTAATTCTTCACAGGCACTCAATAAATTTTGACAAATCCTACCAGAGACTTGGGAAACTTATAATAGGTCTTGAAACCATTTGTCTTTTACCCCTCAAAACTCAAACTCTAGACATGTATTGTCTAACATGATAGCCACTAGGCACATGTGATTAAATTTATTAAAATTAACCCTAAAAATTCAGTTCCTTAGTCATACTAGTTATCTTTCTCACTCTTTCTCTCCCCCCACCAGACAGAGTCTCGGTCTGTCACTCAGACTGAAGTACAGTGGTGTGGTCTCTGCTCACTGCAACCTCCACCTCCTGGGCTCCTGAGCTCCTGGGTAGGTAGCACTACAGGCACAAGCCACCAGGCCTGGCCAATTCTTTATTCTGGTTTGTTTTTTGTTTTTCCTTTTTCAGAGACAGGGTTTTGCTATGTTGACCAGGCTGGTCTCAAACTCCTGGCCTCAAGCAGTCCTCCCACCTCGGCCTACCGATGTGCTGGGATTATAGGCATGAGCTATGACTCCTCAGCCTAGTTAATTTTCAATTGCTCAACAGCCACATGAGGCTAGTGGTCACCATTTTGGACAGCACTTACATGAAATATTCCTGTCACTGTAGAAAGTTCTACTAGACAGTGCTGCTCCAGACAGATTTCAATGACTATATGAGTACTGGGTTATTTATAGGCTACCTGGGGAACATAATAAAACATTAGGGTCACTAATTTGCCATATACTTATATTAAATATCACAATATTTCAGAAAATAATTTGGACTTCTGACATCTTAGAAATGATCTCTAACAACAAAAAATATATTATTTCTTCAAATTATCTATACAAAATGACAAATTAACTCCAGTATATGAATTAGATGATTTTAAAAATTTAATAAATACCCCAAGGAATGTATTTCATCTGCCTATCATCTACTACAATGGCTAGCTATTTGCCTTACTCACCTGCACTTTCCTTAATGGCAGGAACTGTAACTTACTCACCCTGTCCTCAACACCCAGCAAAATTACTTGATAAATGGTAGGCCCACAGTAACTATTCATTGAATAAAAATAAATTGCAAGCAGCTATCGAATACTAAAGAACAAAACTGGGAGATCTCCTTTACCATCTCTGAAAGTTATCAGAAGCAAAAAACACAATTCTTTTTGCAAAGTAGACATTGCTGTGCAAAGCCAAGCAGTTCTACTGGTTCGCTATGATCTTACATGAACATCAACCTCTTTGTGCTACAGTTTAATCACCCACAATACTGGGGGTGATCATGGCACTTTGCTTACAGGGTTATTGTACAGACAAATAGCTATTATATATTTAATGCTAATGGCTAGCATTAAAGAAAACGAATGTTGCCTGAGGAGTTTCTTGGAGGCCTTGACAGTAGAGCGGAAGTGCTGGTGAATGGTACTCATTGAATACTTACTGTGGCTGCTACGTTTATGTTGTACTGGTTATCACTCAGGAGCGGCTGCAGGGTCATGGTTGTATTGCAGTGCAAATCATGCAGAGATGTGGCTGCTGCTTCCAATAAAAAGGCTCCAAAATAGAAGACAAATACTGTAAAATGGTAGGCAAAATCCTAAAAGAGGAGAGAAAAGACATCTGCAATTAAAAAAAAATAAGATATTTTTCTGTTCCTTATTTTAAATGATGAAGTTTAGGTTTAGCAAGATCAAAACATTTAATTAAACAATCTTAACTATATTCACTGTTTATCTTAGCTGCTTTAGAAATGTCAGGCTATTAGAATCCAAGTGGAAATCAATCAACCCATCTTAATTGGCACACTGGTAAACCTTTCCATATACTTAATTTTATAATATATAATTTTAATTTGGATTAAGATGCCATAGAGATCAATGTTAATTAGGATAATATAAAAAAGCCATAACATAATGCTGTCTTTAAAATTCAAGTAAAATAGCATTTAAATAACATCTTTTTATTATGGTTATTATACGTATTCATACACATTACATAATTTTATTTTTGAGCAGTTATTTTTATCATTAGAGATTTTCCACTGAAAGATACAGAAGACTAGTAATAGAATTCAATAACACATATTCATATATTTCATTAAAAACTACTAACATGTACTTTGACCAAAAGTATAAGAACTCGTTTATTAGGTTTCTTTGTATGTTGCTGACATTCATATGAAGCATAACACTATTACAGTTCATATTGTCTTACCTGAATTAATATATTATCAACACATCACTGTTTTTAATAGCTCCCACATATCAGGTACCTTACGTGCATTGTTACTCATCCTTATAACCACCATTTATTGTCTCCATTTTACAAAGAATTTCTTCTTTCTTTTCAGTTAAATGACTGTTTAAAGCCACACAAATATTAACTTTGGGAGGGAGAAAAACATGTAGTGTGTCTAGTCCCAAAGTCCAGTTTCTTTAGTTTTCAGAAAAAAATTATTTTAATTGACCAAAATACATATTTATCATGTACATGATGTTCTGAAATATTTATACATTGTGGGATGGCTAAATTGAGCATATATATATATATATATCCTCCTATAATTATCTTTTTTGTGGGGAGAACATTTGAAATCTTTTTTAAGCATTTTTCAAGAATATAATAATACACTGTTATTAACTATAGTCACCACGCTATATAACAGATCTCTTAAACTCATTTCTCCTAACTGAAATTTTGTATTCTTTGACCAACATTTCCCCAGTCTCCCATTACCCCATACCCTGGTAATGACCATTCTATTCTCTACTTCTGTGAATTAAACTTTTTAAGATTTCACATATAAGTGACATCATGTGGTATTGGTCTTTCTGTGCTTGACTTATTTCACATAACATAATGTTCATCTATATTGCAAATGACAGGATTTCAGCCTTTTTAAAGGCTGAATTAGTATTGTGAATATATACTGCATTTTCTTCATTCCTCTACGACCCTTAGGTTGATTCTATATCTTGGCTGTAATGAATATGAGAATGCAGATATCTCACTGATTTCATTTCCTTTGGATATATACCCAGGTGTGGGATTGCTTGATCATATGGTAGTTCTATTTTTAACTTTTTGAGGAACTTCCACAATGTTCTCTATAATGACTGTACTAATTTACATTCCTACCAACAGTGTGTAAGGGTTCCGTTTGAAGTCTTTTCTATCAAACCTATTCTTGATTTCCATTACTGTTATAGCAATATTACAAAGGAGAGTATTGCACTGCCTTTGTAAATGGCCATACAGCAAATGATACTGTTCATAGAAATTGTTCTCACATCTGGCCGGGCACGGTGGCTCACACCTGTAATCCCAGCACTCTGGGAGGCTGAGGCAGGCGGATCATGAGGTCAGGAGATAGAGACCATCCTGGCTAACACGGTGAAACCCTGTCTCTACTAAAAAATACAAAAAATTAGATGGGCCTGGTGGCAGGCACCTGTAGTCCCAGCTACTCGGGAGGCTGAGGCAGGATAATGGTGTAAACCTGGGAGGCGGAGCTTGCAGTGAGCCGAGATTGCACCACTGCACTCCAGCCTGAGCAACAGAGCAAGACTCTTAAAAAAAAAATAGGCCCAAGATGGCCAAATAGGAAGAGCTCCAGCCTCCAGCTGTGAGTGACACAGAAGACGGGTGATTTCTGCATTTTCAACTTAGGTACCGGGTTCATCTCACTGGGGAGTGCCGGACAATCAGTGCTGGTCAGCTGGTGCAGCCCGACCAGCGAGAGCTGAAGCAGGGCGAGGCATCGCCTCACCTGGGAAGCGCAAGGGGGAAGGGAATCCCTTTTCCTAGCCAAGGGAAACTGAGACACACAACACCTGGAAAATTGGGTAACTCCCACCCTAATACTGTGCTTTACCAAGGGTCTTAGCAAACAGCACACCAGGAGATTATATACCACACCTGGCCCGGAGGCTCCTCTGCCCACGGAGCCTCCCTCATTGCTAGCACAGCAGTATGAGATCTAACTGCAAGACGGCAGCAGCAGCGAGGCTGGGGGAGGGGCGCCAGCATTGCTGAGGCTTAACTGGGTAAACAAAGCCACCAGGAAGCTGGGTGGAGCCCACCGCAGCTCAAGGAGGTCGGCCTGCCTCTGTAGACTCCTCCTCTGGGACAGGGCATAGCTAAACAAAAAGCAACAGAAACCTCTGCAGATGTAAATGCCCCTGTCTGATAGCTTTGAAGACAGCAGTAGATCTCCCAGCATGAAGGCTGAGATCTGAGAACAGACAGACTGCCTGCTGATCAAGTGAGTCCCTCACCTGTGAGTAGCCTAACTGGGAGACATCCCCTACTAGGTGCAGACTGACACCTCACACGGCGGGGTACACCCCTGAGATGAAGCTTCCAGAGCAAGAATCAGACAGCAACACTCGCTGTTCAGCAATATTCTATCTTCTGCAGCCTCTGCTGCTGATACCCAGGCAAACAGGGTCTGGAGTGGACCGCGAGCAAACTCCAACCGACCTACAGCTGAGAGTCCTGACTGTTAGAAGGAAAACTAACAAACAGAAAGGACACCAACACCAAAACCCCATCAGTACGTCACCATCATCAAAGATCAAAGGCAGATAAAACCACAAAGATGGGGAGAAAGCAGTGCAGAAAAGCTGGAAATTCAAAAAAATCAGAGCGCATCTCCCCCTCCAAAGGAACGCAGCTCATCGCCAGCAATGGAACAAAGCTGGATGGAGAATGACTTTGACAAGTTGAGAGAAGAAGGCTTCAGTCCATCAAACTTCTCAGAGCTAAAGGAGGAACTATGTAACCAGCACAAAGAAACTAAAAACCTTGAAAAAAGAATGGATGAATTGATAACTAGAATAATCAATGCAGAGAAGACCTTAAAAGAACTGATAGAGATGAAAACCATAACATGAGAACTACGTGACAAATGCACAAGCTTCAGTAACCAACTCGATCAACTGGAAGAAAGATTATCAGTGATTGAAGATCAAATGAATGAAATGAAGCGAGAAGAGAAGTGTGGAGAAAAAAGTAAAAAGAAATGAACAAAGCTTCCAAGAAGTATAGGATTATGTGAAAAGACCAAATCTATGTCTGATTGGTGTGCATTAAAGTGAGGGGGAAAATGGAACCAAGTTGGAAAACACTCTGCAGGATATCATCCAGGAG